GAGGTTTCTTAATGCATGCAGAAATCTCAGAGCAGCTACATGATGCAGGAGGGCAGGCAAAGTGAATGAAAGGTTCAAGTCCTTTTTCAGTGCCTCTGAGAAGCACTCTGTCTGTCACAGCTCTCCTAAACTTCCCTGGTGAAACTGCTCTACTTTGAAGAAACAGATACTAATTTTCTCATAGACTTCAGTTCACTTTGTCTTTATGTTATATAAATCCCAAGAGTCTCTCTCAAACAAATGAAGAATATTTTTCCGTGCTAAAGGAAAGCTTCACAAGGAAACACTGAGAACCAATCGCTCTGCAGTTTGCAGTGCAATACTCACCTACTGGTAGGTGCGTTAAGCCCATGTTAACCCATGTTTTGTATTGCTGTGAAACTCTTTTTTAATCCAGATTTTCACATATCAAAATAAATCTATTAATGACTTTATGGATGGATCCTCTTGCCTCTTTCATGGAGTTGAACATGCTCAGAAAGTAACTTTTAGTGATAAAGGGAGAGGAATATCTGTTATGAATCAGCAGTTTTTAAGCATGAAGAACTCGAGATATGGAAATAGTAATATAGAAACGTTTTCCAGCCTCAAGATGCTCAGAAAGATCCATTGCACACTGCTATGAAGTGTAAATGGAGCCTGACCATTAGACATCACATATTTTTCCACCTGAATGTTGCAGTGATTAAAAAAAAAATAAAAATAAAAAAAATAAAAATAAAGATAAAGATAAAGAATCTTATTATTTTGGAAACCAAGAAACTACAAATCACACATTGTTTAAGAAATTTCTCTGTAAATGCCACTTGAAGCTCCACTACGGCTAAAGTTACTGGACCTTGGGATTTTATTTATTCAGTGAAATGAGTTTAAGCAAGTTGTTCTTCCTTCCCGTGATTGTTTTTACTCGCTGGTGATTCATTTTGTTGTTGTGATCTGCGCTGTAACAGAATTACACTGGTTCAAGGATTTGGTTTAGAGATTCCTGTTGAATGTACACATCCATTACAATTTCAGTTGCAAACCATTAACATAATGGGAGATGTCTGAGAATTTTTCCTCCTTCCTTCTTGTAGCAGTTAGATCAATATAATGGGAAAGGAGTTATAACAGATGTACGATGAGGGAAGGACTGACAGAATAGATAGAGATGTTATAGAGGAAGGAAAGAAGACTGCTCACCCATGTCAGAAGATTCTAGGTTCATAGGGAAAAGCTTCACCAAGAAGAGATCTGCAGGAAGAGATCCTCCCCCAGTGGCAGTCAGCCCTTAAATGAGGTCTCAGAGGATTGGAGCCAGGTTCCACCCCTTCTGGTTGTGCAGGTGAATTCCTTCACCTATGCTCCCAGGGCTGACCAAGGTGCTCAATCAGTGGTTCAGGCTGCGACTCAACTTTTCCCATACGTTTATATACTTAGTACTAGGTTCTGGTGTTGAATTCACAGGGTAGACTTTTCTTTTTTTGTAGATAAAATGAGAAATCTGAATTAGATTTGTACCCTATCCTCGTATTTTGAGCTTCTCAGATCCGGAATCGAATTTAAGTGTTGAACTTTTTGAAATATTGATCTCTCTAAGTCTGCATTATATTTACTTAAGAGAAAGAAGTATCCATTGGATATCGCTATGTATTCCTTTAGTGGATGTGTTTTCTGTGCTGTCTATGGTGATTCCTGTGAAATACTATTAACAGCAGAAGATTACTCTGTAAAGTTTATGATGGTAGTCTTGCTGATGCAAGCAGATACTTCCTATTACAGTGATGTTCTATTTCAATAACAGATTATAGCTGCAAACTTTATACATTTTATTCCCCATACAGGCACTGTATGGGTCTGTGAGTGTAGTTCTGTAGATTCATTTAGCACCTAATGCATTTTTAATGAAGGGTGTTGTTTGTTGTTTTTTTTTTTACAGTATCTCTTTGTAGGTCTTGTGATGATGAATTTTCATAGTGCTTCAGAAAAGAGGTATTTGTAATTTCCAAAATACTTGTGAAAGTCAGATACTAATTTTACTGAAGCATACTGCACTAAGAGGGGGACAAAATAAAAAAAATAAGTTAATAATGCTAGCATATAACCCAGCACAGCCTCATGACATTTCTTTCATAGAATCATAGAATCATAGAATCACCAAGGTTGGAAAAGACCTAAAAGATCATCCAGTCCAACCGTTCACCTATTCCCAATAGCTCCTACTAAACCATCCCTCAACACAACATCCAGTCTTTCCTTGAACACCCTCAGGGTCGGTGACTCCACCACCTCCCTGGGCATCCATTCCAGTGCCTGACCACCCTTTCCGAAAAGTAATACTTCCTCATGTCCAGCCTGAATCTCCCCTGCCGTAGCTTGAAGCCATTCCCCCTGGTCCTATCACTGATGACACGAGAGAAGAGGCCGACCCCCAGCTCACTACAGCCTCCCTTCAGGAAGTTATAGAGAGCAATGAGGTCTCCCCTGAGCCTCCTCTTCTCCAGGCTGAACATTCCCAGCTCCTTCAGCCTCTCCTCATAAGGCCTGTGTTCCAGACCCCTTACCAGCTTTGTTGCCCTCCTTTGAACATGTTCCAGGGCCTCAATATCTTTCTTGCAGTGAGGGGCCCAAATGCTTTCTGCTGCTGAAACATACAATCTAAGCCAATGAGCTGTTTCTGCTGGAGAGCACTAATGCAAAACAAGTCAAATACTAATGCAAAACAAGTCCAGCTACTCATCTCATCAAAACGTGCTTGATAAAATACCTAATTGCTGCCACTGATTTTTTTTTTCTTGTTTTTCTCACAGTTCTAGAAGAATGAAAGTGTGTGGAGAAATCTCTTCTCAAAAACACTGGTGTAGATTGGCATGTGTAAAACATTTGCGTGACTGTCTGTGTTGGGTGAATCATTTTGAAGACCTCCTGTGTTTGTTACAACTCCACACTTAAATTCTGCTTTACAAAGCATAACAGAGGTGGAAGGGGTGTGTGTGTGTGTGGGGGGAAACTTACCTGAACAGAACAGTCCAGAGGAAAGGAGGCAACGTGAGGGATCTGCATCTGACTTTGGGAATTTAAACTAAAAGGACAGAGAGCTGTTAAACAGCAAGCTAATAGCTTGTTGTTCAAATGCAGACTGTAGTTAGTGGTTTTTGGAGAATTAGACAAGACCATGAACCGAAATGCACTGCTTGAAAAATTGGTGAGAAAATTCTCTAGCTCTTTCATTGAAGAACTCTTTGATAGATTTTTTCCTGTATTCTGTAGACAAAGTTTGTTAGTAACAAATGGAAAGCAGTCTGCTTCTCAAGCAGTTAAACTCATGCTTGGTGAAGTAATACTAAAGTAAAATACTGCCCACCAGTGAGTTGAAGATGTCCCGGTATTACCAAACCACAATAACTAAAATTAGAACTAATTAATACTAATGTGATACAATATTTAAATGACTATAAATAACGATGTTTCAGGGCACACTCAGATTGAGCTCAAGCCAAAATTTTCTTATCGAGGCTAGTATTCCAAATTTTTAAATGGAGAAGGTACAAGAAATTCTGTTCCGTTTGAAGTAACTCATACTAACTGCTACCAATGATAGGACATAAAATTACATGAACTGTTGTTTTGGTTCAGTAGAGAACATATTTTTCCTCTCCAGTAGCAAATGCTTCCAGACCATATGGAGTAAATAGAAAAAAAAAAAAAAAGATAAGTGGAAAAAAGTCAGCCAAAAATAATCTGTAGCAAGGAGCAGTCCTTCCTTTTCAATTAAATACATTTATCATGGGAAGTTCTTATCTAGACCATGAAACAGCAGATAGATATTATTAAATGAAAAGTGTAATATCCTCTTTCTCTATTAAGGTCCTTCATAACTATCTACAGTGGGTGACAGTGCCTGATGACAATTGTTCCCTTTAGAATTCTGAAGCAAGAATTTACTTAACATATTATCTAGTGAACCAGTATTTCAGATTATCCTTGCTTTGCTGGACCACTCTTACTTAACAGGAGACCTGAAAGAGTTTTGTGCTCATGACATTTTTATTATGTTTTCCCTTTTTCAATTCTGCCTTTTCCTTCTCTATGTCAGGATCTGAACACTGGGCCTTTTGTCTGCTGTTTGCTTTCAGAGTTCAGCTGCAACTGATAATACTTCAATATGTTTCTTTTCCCTCTTCTGCTAGAGTTTACATTACTCTGCCAAGCTCACCAAGCTCAAGTAACAATTCAGAACCTGAATTTGATGGGCTTCACATTCAAGACCCAGCGATTAGATAATCCTGTGATTAAATCTCAAAAGAGTTAAATGACTTGCAAGATGGAAGAAACCACAAAACACAGTGGAAGATGTGATTTTCTTTTGGAAGGAAGATCCCCTCACCCTACCATTTCCCTTTTGTCTAGTAGCCTGTAATTGCAGAAGAATTAGATGCATCTTCCTTTCCTGCCTTACAGAGTTCAGACCCACATGTCCCATTTTCTTGGCTGGTTCTGGTGGCTAATTGCATGTATGTGTGGGCAGTGTTCTCCAGGCACTCTGGCGAATCTGGATCGTTACATTGAAAAGAACTCAAGATTGACTAGGCCAGTAAGATAATAGGAGTAGGGCAGGACATGATAGATGGATAGCTCGAGTTCTGCTCCAAGAATTCATATTTTATTCAGTGCTGTTTCATCATCTCCCCTTTCAACTGTGTTTTAAAAAGAAAAAGAGTAGTCCCTGCTTAGCTATTTCAGAGATGGGTCACAGGCACTTGCTTTCAGGAAAGGGCTAAAATCTGTGAATCTGCAGTAGATAAAAGCATTTTCCTGCAAAATGTGAAGCACAGAGTAGGTCAGGGTCACATTTCAAACATCCTCATGCTTAGTGTTTCCTATAACTGCTGCTTTCAAATAGCATCTCCTCCCCCACCTTCCTCCATAGGACAGAATAAATTCTTGAAATATATATCGGGAGTGTTATAAGGCCCAAGGAAAGTCCATATGACTACCTTTTTTTTTTTTTCTTCTTCCAGCATTCTCTCTCCTTGTGGCAGCAGCTACATGAGGACTGTGAGAAAACAGGTTTACATACACACAAGAAGAAGACATGCTTCCAACAAATCTCTATGAACTGGGACACAAGGCCTGAGGTGAGCAGTGGGGAGGGGGCATACAAACCTTCCCTAGTGCAGGAGTTTAGATCTCTCAGTTTCCAGGTAGGCAATGAGAGTGCCAGATGAGAGTCGGTATGCAACACCTGCTTTGCTGGAGCTTGAGATGAATAACTAGAGCTAGAGTCAGACAGTAAATACATGAATTTGTGAGAGGGTAGACGCAAGAACCTTCTTTCAAGAAAGCAAAAGCTGGAGGCTAGAAAAAGGACCAAATAACCTTGAGAAAAGCCAGAATGCTAGTGTCTAGCCTTAGTATGTGTTTTAACCTTCTTTGGTAGCTCTCCCTCCTTGTGCACAGCTTGTACAGTTGTGGTATGTTATGCAAATGTCTGGAGACCGTTCAGAGAGTTGGTATGACTGAGGATGACTGATTTTCAGGTGCTTCGTCTCCTTGCTACCTTTGACTTTGATACTGTAGAGGGTGGTGTGTGGTGGGTGGAGAGGGAGAAGCTAAAGATAAAACAGAAATAAGTGCTACTTTGGTTTATGCATTTCATTGTCTGTGTGCCACGTACTGTTGGTTGCTGTTAAATTACTGGCTACTTGCTTGAGGTTCTTGTTTTACCTGGTGCTCTTCAAATGCTGCCCTCCTCCAGAAAATTCCTTACAAAATGCTGTCACTTCACCATCTTGTGCTTTGTGATCTTTCTCAACATCTTTGCAAATCCAACCCTGCACGTATTAGATATTCTGCCAGCTAGTGGAGAGCACAAGGACAATGCATCATCTTCAACCTGTGAGCTGACCTATGTTCTATAAGTAAGCAGGGAATATCCATTTAATGGGCCTCACTGATGTGTGGAGTGGTCCTGACTGCACTGCAGAGCAGTGTGAGAAGATGCGTTATCCTGTACACCACTTGGACTAGTGTATTCAGATGAAAATTAAGTGACTTGAAGAGTACTGCATAAGGATTTATTTCACTGAGCAAATTCAAGCTTCACATCTTTGAGTTAGGCTTTCAACATTCATGGTAGGAGGAAGTGCACAGTAGCAGTGAAGGGCAGAACAAATGACTCCTAATCTACTTTGTATTTTAAAATATGTACGTTATCACTTGAAACAACTCGAGGATGTGATGGCTTTGCAACATTTCTATCTAACGGTGTTTGTAACTATCAAAAATATTTTCTGATCCATTTTTCTTATGTCTGTAGGTCACAGAGATATATAAATTCAATATATTAAATATAAAAGCAGATGTTGATGTAGATACAAATATAGTGATAAGGAAAGTAGCTGTGAGGAATAAAATGGTTTCGAAAACTCAGAACTGTGGAAAGACGTTTAAGGGAGGACAAGGGAATACTCTCTGTCTTCTTCAATAGAGCTGGTGAACAAGCAGCATGTTTCAACATCCTTCTCTAGAGATACAACATATTTTATTACTTCAAGCTGTTTTCCAACTCTTTGCATTCAGACATCAAAGTTTCTGCAAGTTGAATGCTTCCTATATTGTATGCGAATACTCAGAAATGTCTGGCTTCCTTTCTCAGTGCGCTTCCTTCAGTGACCTCCATTCTCAGAAAGAGAAACCTACAGGGGAGCTTATGTGAGCTGTGTTCATCCTTCAGTTTTGCTCACTGGGTTTTCACTTCTCTGGCAACTTTTTCTCTACTAGGGTGCTGTGTTCCAAGTATTCACTAAAGCATCATGCAGTGAAACACTGAGTTTTGGATTTGCAGTTTTCATTCATTTGCTTTTTTCCATCTGTCTATAATTTCCATTTTCATCAGAAAAGCAAGTACTTGACCTCCTTCCTTACCCTCTTTTTAACTATTTCTAGTGCTACAAAGGTAAAGAGGCCTCCGAGATTTTGTGATATTAAATGAATACTTGGCTTCTCAGATAACAACAAGATCAAAATCCAATTTTAATGTTTCCAGTATTTTCAGCATGCCCTTGATCTGCTGTTGTGGTTGGCTCCCACTGGCAGAAGCAGGTCCCAGATAATACACTGATCTTCAGCTTTACATCTTCTGTTTACAAGGACACAGCCTCTGAAGCTGTCACTTAATTCTAGATCAGTTTTTCAGAAACATTCTAAGACTTGTAGTCCTGCTGCACCTCAGTCAATATCTTATCTGACTCATGGAACAGAGGGAGGAAACGTTCCTTCAGATTGTTTGGGTTTTCTACTAGTGAATGCAGTTTAGTCTACTTAGAGGGTTTTTTCTTTTTCCAAGTATTACAATTGATAAACAAAAATGCTTTTGACATTCCTTCCAGAGATTTTTCCATGCATTCGTGCAATTTACAGTCAGGATTTTTTTTCTTAAACTGGGTCTACATTTTTACCCATTTCAACTACATACCTGTGTGTAACAAGGTTTTACTTTTTCATTTGAGCAAAAATAAGTACACCTACTACATATTAGCATTCATATTGCTGTTCACTCTTGCTTTATTCTTTTTCCTGAATCTGATGATATAGCAGTGTTCTGGGGGTATTGCTTCCAGCAAAGACCATTTTGGTGAGCTCCAGTGCAGATTTTGTCCTGATGACTCCCTTGTTCCCTGCTAGGACTTACTGCCTGACTCAAGCCAGTCAGACACTTGTTTTGCACAGTCATGTTTTATGCTCTAGAATACGAGGCCAGCCCAGGTCTTAATTAGCAATGACACATTCCCTGAACTCTTGGTTGGTAAGCAGAATATAAACAACTCTTGGTTCATAAGCAGAAGATAAACAGCAGTTGCAGTATTCTTGGCTAGGAATCATGCCCTCAATGCCTATGCTTGATGTGCAGGCGTAGTCCCTAAGCCGCTTATGCTCATGTCCATCTGCTGCAATGGCAAAGTGCCTTCTCACAAGTTGTTTGGACTCCTGCCTTGGGGGCAGAGGTGCCAGGCAATGATCAGCAGCCAGCATGACAATGCAGGCATCATTTCTTCTAAAAGAGCAGCTCCTTTAAGCAATTACTGTAGTACGGGCTGCTACCATGGGCCTCTTATAGAGCATGATTACACCTGCTGGAAATTATGTGCCAAGAAAAGAATACATGAACCATGCTGGAGAGCAGTCCAACCAGTGCAGTGTTATTTTTAGCTGCCAAGGAGACAGGTTGCATGGCTGCAGGGGTATGAAAACTCATCAGTAATTCTCAGAGTGTCAAAAAAAAAAAAGATCTCAGCAAGCCAAAATAACCTAGAGGCATATCTGATGCAGGCTATACCATGGCCTCAAATGGCGACTGAAGCAAAGCAGAACTGGTGTGAGAGCTTTCTTCATGAAGTAAATCAAGAAAAAACAGGGTCGATTTTTGATACTCTCGTCCAAGTGAACGAGAAGATCCTGACCTTGTTCTTCCTGCTGAATGAACACCTGTGGTATGAGCTATAAAGACAAAGATATAGTAGGAAAATGAGAAGATGAAATGGATGTTTTGTAGGCATGATTAGGTAACCCTACAGAGTAGTGTGTCTGAATATAGCACTGCTAAACTAGTTTGCTAACAGAGAAATCGAAGGACAAGGAGGAAATTCTCATCCCTCTATGCAAGTGCAATAGAGGAATAAGCATTTAACAAACCTGGTTGAAGGAAGTCCATTTCCAGTCTCTGTTTTGTCCCAGGAGTTTTGTACTCCCTTTCCGTCAGCCACATGTACAGATTGTACAGTAGCCACATGACAACAGGAGCAGCACGTCAGCTACAGGTACTGAACCCAATTCTCTTCTGTCTTGACATATTTTTACATGCCTCAAGGCACTTGTTTTTAGGAAGGAGTCCAGAAGCATCCTGTGACCCATCCTGTAAGCCTCATGCCATCTGAAGGTCAAAATTTCAACACATGAGAAATATCCTTGTGGAGAAGTTTATACAACTTCTGTAAGTTCCAGCTTGCTCGTGTAAAAAATGAAATACCTTTTATTAAAAAAAAACAAAAACAAATTAACTCCTTTACAAGGTTTTAAAATTAAAATTACTTTTCTGATGTTTAATTCAATGAACAAAATGTTTCTATTTTCAAACTGCATCACAAAACATTTCAAATCATACAGATTTTTTGCCCGCTTAGTATTTTTAGAATTTTAGTAGTCTAGAAAGTCCATCTGAGGACTGAGACAACATTCATTTTTTATTTTTCTTACACAGAAAACTACCAAAAATCAGTTTCATCTGTACTGCTCAGCATTAGTCTCAAGGTAATTGTAAATCTCCTTTGAGGACCTGGAGGAGTGGACAAAAGGATGTATGAAAGTCCCTGTGTGTTTCTGAGGAAATACAATGAGCTGAAAGGCTGTTACCAGTCTGCCCTTGTTTATATGCAGCTGTCACATTTCTACCTCAGGTCTCATTGAGATCAGTGGGAATTCTGCCATTAGCTTCATTATGACTTGCCCTAAACACCAGCTGCTATTTTGTGTACACCATTGGAGTTATTGTAGTTTCCACCAACTGGTCATTCTGAAGACTGGATTAAGAAGAGATTTTGGTAAAGACTGATGAAAAAAGCTGATGATTTCTTGGATGGGAATGTTTTGCTTTAGAGATAGGTAGCTGTATGGCCTTGGATTCATGCTGTTCCAATTTGGAAACCTTTCTCTAATGTGTTGTCTTCTGATGAATACCAGAGGTTTGAATCATTGACATATGCAATTAAAATAATTAAAGACAAAAAAAAGAAGCCCAACTACAGGTAAATGATTTAAACACAGACTGGATTTTGTGTGACTCTTTCCTTCTCAGTGGGAGGAAATACAAAATAACCACTCCATTACAAAACTAAGTGAGCCGGTGTGAACCTAATGAGGTTCAACAAGGCCAAGTGCAAACTGTTGCACTTGGGTTGGGGCAATCCCAGGTGTTTATGCAGAGGAGGCAAAGAACCCTTTGAGAACCGCCCTGAGGAGAAGGACTTGGGGGTCCGGGTGGACGTCCAGGCCTGGGGCCCCCAGTACAGGAAGGACGTGGAGCTCTGGGAGCGGGTCCAGAGGAGGGCACTGAGATGAGCAGAGGGCTGGAGCAGCTCTC